AAGTTTGCTGTGTGTTTAGTTGCTTGCGTCTTGTTGTTCTTCGTTGGAGTTGAGAAACCGTAACATCTATAACAGAGAGGCGAAATTTACAAAAGGGATGTTCATACTCATATGTAACAAACAAACTGACAATGTAATGGCAACCAAAATCGACGAAAAGAAAAAAAAAAAACAGAACACAAAACATAACACAGATATATAAAATTAAATGAATGAACAACACAAACCCAACAAAAGTCAAGTGCCCTGGAAGAGGAAGCATATCTTCTCTAAATATGACATCCGTCTTGTTGCCTTTGTAAGTTTAAACATGCATAAGGATACCCTAAAGTAGGACGACTAAAAAATGTAAAATAGCAACTATAGAACACTCATGGCAAATTTAAAAAGGAAAGTCTTTAATCAAATGGCAAAATCAAAAATCAAAAACGCAAACAAATTGAAAACAACTGTCATGTTCTTTACTTAGTCATGTTAGTACAGGCATTTACTCATATAGAAAATGATGGATTCAACCTTTTATAGCTTTTAAAGCTAGCTTAACCGCTCTTTTGCATGACAGTCGCAAACAATTCTATCATCTTGACAACAATAAGTGAGCAGAACAAACAGACATCAAAGAAACACATAAGTATTTCAACAGCAAAACAAAATGACATATAGACACTCTATGAACAAAGTATATAAGCAAACAGGAAAGACAAGAATACAAAAATGACCATAGCACAACAACACAATTGCGTGTTGAATATATACTGATAGTTATCAAAGGTACCAACCTACCAGGCTTATAATTTGATACGCCAAACGCGCGTTTCGCCTCAATAAGACTCATCGGTGTCGCTCGGATCAAAATAGTTATAAAACCAAACGAGTGTAAATTTAAAGAGCATTGACTGATTGAGGTCCCCAAATTCCCCAAAGTTGTGCCAAATACGGCTAAGGTAATCTATGCCTGGGATAAGAAAATCCCTAGTATTTCGAATAATTCATACTTTTGCAATCAGTAAATTCAAAATGATAACTATGAATGAGCCACGCCAAAAGAATATTACAAGAATTGAATAAACAGTACAGGTATTAGATATACAAAGGCAAAACAAAAATAAAATAGAAAAACAGTATAACACGTAATTAGGATGATAAACACCGTCAGTACCTGGTGTCTATACTTCAAGATCATCATGTATCATTTGTGAGGATAATACGAAATGTTTATCAAATCTGGAAAATCGATTAGAAATTATAGATAACGGTAAAGACAAAAACGTGTTTAATGCTTGCATTCAGTTTTCAATTATCAAATATGTTTGAGCATCAATAAAGAGACATGTATTGTCAAAATAGGCATCTGCTGTTGTAAAGTTGGTTTCGTAAAACGTTATTGGTTATTATTTTACCTATTTTGTTGAATAAAAGTACATACACAGTACATTTTCGGAACAAGGGTAATTTAAGTTATATTCGTGTAATCAACGTAAACACGTAAAGAACGAAATTGTCCACCGCTATATTTTTGCTAACATACATGCCAGGAATCTGAAACAATTACTTTTAAGTTTTATTTTCAAAACGTTTTCAGTTTAATTTGGCAAATGGCGAAATATTAGAAGACAATGGATTTCTTCAAAAGTAAAGTTGAGCTAAAATCTTATCAACCTATCAACTAACCACGCATTTTCAAGGAGGAAAACAAACATATTACAAAAATGTTAAATATGTTTTTGAAAAAAGGACATTTCCCGCTCAATAAAGCACTCATCATATTGTCCAAGATAATTAGACAATTTTTTGCCATGTCGAATTTACGATATCACAAATTAGTAGCAATATTAGTTGAAATATCATAAATCAATACAGAAAATTTGAAGGTAATCGCAAGAACTTAAAACGAAAAAGAAGCGAAACCGGTTGAGTCGAGAGGATAATAAGTATATCCTTCTATGAATGCATCCCTCTTATGAACACCTATAGTCAAAATGTCGAAAAAAGCATGTATTTACAATCAAAAATCTGATGGTCTTTTGAAAAATGTTGTTTGTGCTGTATTTAGATCCCTCTACAACCAAATTTGTTTTACATGTACACGTGTACAAATTGCGGTTTTATCCAACGCAATCATAGGTTTGAACGTTGTTTTCAATTTAGACTTGTTTATATTTATTTCGTTTAGGCTTGTATTATATTTTCCCTCCGGTTTATATAATCCGTTCATCCTATTTCGACTCTTTAAAATTCAAGAGTCTATTCTATTCAGATAAATTATATGGCCTTCCAAATACTGTTTCGATCCCTAACATCACTAAAGAGACATTAATTGTCGCAATCCGGGTATGGTGCAATAAATTTAAACACCTCATGTTTGTGGTTCACTATCTTTGCAACAAGTTTATTGTTTTCTGTTTGGTATTAAATTAATATAAAGATCCACTTTTACATCTTGTAATCAGTTTATTTAGCAATCGTCAATGACAGTCAGCAGGGTTTAAGAACATCAGTTGTGCAACCTGTTAGTCAAATCCGTTTTGTCAAAATATACTTTTTCACTTTTTTGGTCTTTTGGAAAATGTTGTTTGTGCTGTATTTAGACCCCTTTATAACGAAATTTGTTTTACATGCACACGTATAAAAATTGCCGTTTTTATCCAACGCAATCATAGGTTTGAACGTTGTTTTTAATTTAGATTTGTTTATATTTATTTTTTTGGGCTTGTATTATATTTTCCCTCTGGTTTATATAATCCGTTCATCGTGTTTCGACTCTTTAAAATTCAAGAGTCTATTCTTAATTGAGATAAATTATATGGCCTTCCAAATATTGTTTCGATCCCTAACATCACTTAAGAGATATTAGTTGTCGAAATCCGGATATGGTGTTATAAATTTAAGCACCTCATGTTTGTGGTTTACCATCTTTGCCACACGTTTATTGTTTTCTGTTTGGTATTAAATTAATATAAAAATCCAGTTTTACATCTTGTGATCAATTTATTTGGCAATCGTCAATGGCAGTCAGCAGGGTTTAAGAACATCAGTTGTTCGACCTGTTAGTCAAATGCCGTTTGTTAAAATATACTTTTTCACTTTTTTGGTCTTTTGGAAAATGTTGTTTGTGCTGTATTTAGACCCCTCTACAACGAAATTTGTTTTACATGCACACGTATAAAAATTGCCGTTTTTATCCAACGCAATCATAGATTTGAACGTTGTTTTCAATTTAGACTTGTTTATACTTATTTTGTTTGGGCTTGTAATATATTTTTCCTCCGGTTTATATCATCCGTTCATCCTATTTCGACTCTTTAAAATTCAAGAGTCTATTCTAAATTGAGGTAAATTATATGGCCTTCCAAATACTGACTCGATCCCTAACATCACTGACGAGACATTAATTGTCGAAAACAGTATATGGTGTAATAAATGTAAGCACCTCGTGTTTGTGGTTTACCATCTTTGCAAGTTTATTGTTTTCTGTTTGGTATTAAATCAAAATAAAGATCCACTTTTACATCTTGTGATCAATTTATTTGGCAATCGTCAATGGCAGTCAGCAGGGTTTAAGAACATCAGTTGTTAGACCTGGTAGTCAAATGCGTTTTGTTCAAATATACTTTTTCACTTTTTTGGTCTTTTGGAAAATTTTGTTTGTGCTGTATTTAGAAATACACATCAGACGCTACAGAGAAAAAAAAACCAAATTGGAAGTAGTACGCACCAGATGTTTTATTCTAACTTTCTATACATTTGTCTATACAATGATTATCAGACATAATATGTTTTGTACTAACTAGCTTCATGTCTATATATTTATCTACATAGTGCTTAACAGGCATAAGATGTTTTGACCTAACCAGTTTTATGTCTATATATGTATCTACATAGTGCTTAACAGGCATCCAACTTTTTATATTGTCTTGATTTATCTCATCGCCTTTATGTTTATCGCTATATATTGTCTTTGATTTTGAAGAGCTCGATGTTAAAACTTAGGATTAAATATTATAAATAAAAATAATGCTGTAAAAACTACCTTATGGAAATGTGATATAAAATATAACAATAAAAACCCAATTCTGAAATACAATATAAAACAGTATCACACAAGAACCTTGATATGTGTCTTTGATAATTAAAAATCAACGAGTTAAACTTATTCAACATAAACGGACTAACCATATAAAGTATATCATAGTAAATTATCTTCTTCGAAACCAGGATGTCGATACATGATGCATCCATGTGACGCTATTTATTCTAAACTCGTTACATTTGAATAAGAGATGCTTAGCTTTTCTGTGGTTTCATTTGATGTATATACAGTAATTTGGAGAAACATAAGCTTAATTCCTTAAGTTTAAAATAAGAATATGAAACAAATAGTTATTGATAAAGATAGGGTTTTAATCAGCTAACAACTAGCGTGCCGGGTATGGAACATTTCAAATATGAATAAATGGTTATAATGTTTGCCGGTTGTATAAAATTGAGAACGGAAATGGGGAATGTGTCAAAGAGACAACAACCCGACCATAGAACAGACAACAGCAGAAGGTCACCAACAGGTCTTCAATGCAGCGAGAAATTCCCGCACCCGGAGGCGTCCTTCAGCTGGCCCCTAAACAAATATATATATACTAGTTCAGTGATAATGAACGCCATACTAAACTCCAAATTGTACACAAGAATCTAAAATTAAAAATAATACAAGACTAACAAAGGCTAGAGGCTCCTGACTTGGGACAGGCGCAAAAATGCATACTTATTTTATCGTTTTAAATTATAAGACAAGGACCGTTTTTCACTGTTTCTATGCGCATACCATTGTATTTCTGTATCCGGTTATGTGCATACCAGTGTAATGCATCTAAGCGATAAATAGTTACATAACTGTTGCAAATTGGTTTTACCTTTGACCATCTCATTATTTTCGTCGTCTTAAATTGTACCTGGACATGTTATAAAACATTAATTTATTTTGTAAAATTAAATTTTGTAACGAAACAAGGATATTCAGAAGGAAACGTGCATAATATAATCATTAAAGTTGATGACTCGCGTATTTGAACATCAATCATGAAAGGACTTATCGTCGTAAAGCAGGATACTTCAGTAAACTTTGTATGCACTTATTTAGTTTCATTGCGTCTCATTCTAGTATAAAAGTTGAAGAAAAACGGCGGAGTGTTTCAAAGTCTCTCATACAGCGACAGATTTTCTTGTAAGTACATTTTCAGTCATATTAGGTGTAGACTTGATTCAGATTTTGTAAGTTTTAATTGATAAGAAAGAAAGTTACGTAGCATATCGAAAGCAAGAGTAGATTTCACGTTCATGCAAAATGTGGAACGTCCCTAGCATGCTTACTTTTCTGTATAATGAACATGAATTAACATACAATAGCTTTAAATATAGTGCAGTTCTTATACATTCTTGGCTTTCAAATATTAGGCTTTGAACGCTCCTGGTAAAGGTAAATCCAAAATGCGCTTCGGACGCATGACATTTATATCGTGAAGATACCTCTGCTGGTGGATTATAATTCCCGAGGGCATCAATTGCTCAATAGTCATGATTTATAACAAACCTTCCTAAATTTTTAAATCATTAGAAACCTAAGGTTTTAACTCCCTCTGGGCAAAGTTGACTTTAGATGGATTTGGCGATTTGTTTTATATCATTTTTGGTCATATAGCTCTTCAACTGTTTCGGTTCTTATACATCCTTGTCTTTCAAATATTCGGCTGTGATCGTTCCTGGTGAAGGTAAATCCAGAAAAGCGCTTCGGACGCATGCAATTTAGAACGTGTTGTTTTCATTGTTCTAATCAATTTCAACTTGCATGCATTTACCTTTAATTAGTATTTATTAACTGGTGCATATGTATCCAAATGATAACACTTTTCTTTCAATAAGAAAGTTTGTTGTAAAAATACGTGATATATTCTAACACAAATCATATAAAATGCAGACCTACTATATACTTATCTCAATGAAATCAATCATTAATTAAAGATAAAAAAAAAACAATTTGCAGAAACATGTTAATCCTTGAAAAATGAACAATCTGAATAAAACACTTCTTATTAACAAAAGTTAGATTTGCTTAACGGAATTGCAAGCGTTGCTTTGGTAGAAAGTACAATTGATTTAGTGATGAGGAACTCACGATATGTATTTGTTGCATTATATCTTGTTCCGCCTGACATCGTATCGAAATTTGACATTACGTTGTTTGAGTCCTATAGTGTTATATGTCCACTTTTGATAAAAATTAAGATAGCTACATATTCGATATCCAGGTGCAATGGTCTATCTCCCTATATTTCTATAATACGAGATTTATTATATTCTACGAGTTTTTGTCAGGAATTTACTCCACACTCCCGTCGAATTATAATATCTGTTTTACAGAGAAAAATAGTTTGAGAGTATTGTATTCTCCAATTTTTTTTTAAAGTATTTTTGCTGTAAAATATTTGTTATTAAAATATCTTAGTAGTAATATGCTTAAATTTTATGCATGGTGTGAACTCAATCTACGCAGGTAGGTTAATGTACTGTAACAAAAAATTGGCACTGAATATCGGTGTTTGAATTGAAATCTAAATCGGACGTCATTTACCAAACTACGCGGAATCTGATCGGCTAGATCGTTTCAAGGTTGATCTTGCACATCACGTCATACTTCGTGATCTCCAGCTGATCGGGCACCTTGTCATGAGTGTCTTATCACGTAAAAACACGTTTAAAAGATGGATATTGCTATTAATTTCAGTTAAGTTTGTTTCAAATTATCATATTCGTTCACTGCCAAAGGCCGTATATTTCATTTCATTGAAGAAAGATAAGACGTCTAGATCAAAATGTACCTTTCTGTAAAAAGGGGTGTTAAATTGTACACTGGGCGTTTTTCTGGCTATTTAAAAAAGGCAAGGACGAACGGCAGTGTTTATAGAAAATGAAAATCGTATGTATAATTTTAGGCAAGTCAAAATTACTTAACTTGTGTTAAAAATAATGTGGGTGTTTATGAAAAAGTGCTGTCAGACTGACATGCCATAGTCATATTACTATGGAGGAAAACACTTCAAATTACTTCAATGAACACGATTATGTTCCATTTTCTCTTTGGTATTTGATTTGTATGATCATATACATATTACAAACACAAAGACGGGGTCAAAGAAAGAAAAAGAGAAAATAGTAAAAAAAAAATGCATGCACATTTGACAAAATTTTAACTGCATCATGGCACAATGTGTGCATATCTGAATGTAGTATATTATCATAAGTAGGAATTTGATATATAAAAATAACAAGCTTTTATAATTATTTAGTATGAAGTGACTATTTTTCAAACACAATATTAATTTCATTCATGTTTTAAAATCTCATATTAACATTTTAATTCATCACTTTTTGTGTTCATACATAGAACAAATTTGATTTATTGATGTATTATACTTTAAAGGCAAGTTATTTTAACTATTTTTATGCAGACGAAGGAAACCATTATTTAATTGGAAATTTCCATTTTCCTAGACCTTTGGGGAACCCCTTCATTACGATCTTTTGGCTGGATAACCATTGGTCAGTTTATACACAATGTATCTTACTACACATTCTTGCTGATCTACAGATCGATATTTTGTACACAAGATTTTTTTTGGGGATTTTATAATTTTTTATTCGTTATTTGGACTTTTGCACAGTTATAATGATTGAATATATTTGAGGAAGGCTCTAGATTATTTTTATTCGTGCATTTGTTCGTGCATAATTCGTTTGAACTGATGAAATATTGATGATGAGTAGGAGCTCTTTCGCCATCTTGAATATATTATGTGTACACGAGCACTGACTTATTTAGAATATAAAATATATAACGCAAACATTATAGGAACATAATGTATCAGTGTATTCCGCAACAAAAGCGTTTACGATTATTTTTATTTATATTTTCTTTAAAAATCGTTTGTGTTTTAACTATAATCATTAACATCGCAGAAACTGTTGAATGTCGGAATTTATACAAGCTTCATCGGAAGTTGCTTCGTTTGTTCGTTCTCATCGTACTACATATTGACATTTTACATGTTTACATGTGGACTTATGGTTTCGAAACTAGTACACAGCTTAATTTCAAATCTCACTCGAGCTTCAACAAACGACATACGTGTTGCAACCCGGATTAATATAGTGTGAGTTGAAATGGGGTGTAGGCACAGCGGACAAATTGCAAAACAATGCAGCACGTGATTAAAATGCCCACTTTATACAGTTTTAGCTCTTGGTGATAATTTTGCAAATATGAAGCAAAGGCGGTTTAAGAGAAACAAGGAGTCCAATCTCCTGGGGGAGCTTCACATATGACAAATGAATGGGCTTTTGTACAAGTAGCAATCCAAACGGTGGTTTACAATGGACTCTATCCCCCTTTTTCAAAATCCTGGATCTGCACCTTGGGTGAAAAAACCTGTGTGATGCAAGCTTAAAACCAGATACATTATCATACTATAGTATTGATTTGATGTGAGTTTTTCAAAGGAATCATAATGTTGTAAATGTTGTTGTTTGTATGGGTACACGACAACTGGTACTGTGGACATCTCGTACTCAACCAACTCGTACTTGTACCAACTTGTACTCCTATCAATCCTACTTTTACACACTCGTTCCTATTTGTGTAGCATTGCTATGTATCATTTAATTAGATAAATTATACAATTTACAATGATTAACGGTAATCGTGTGTTCTATACATGTAATTGATATTATCCAAGACATGTATGAGGGTATGAATTTGATTTACAGAAGAGAGGATGATTTGTTTTGGAAACATTTAAAAATATGGAACAGCTCTTAACCGATCTTTGCTGCAGATGAGATGCACTTATCAGAAGTGAAAATTAGAAATACAAATTTATTATAAAAATCTTCGCCTTGCCATACTGTACATTGTACATGTAAATGTATGTTATAGATTTTAAAATGTAGAGTAATCATTTTGTTTCAACTAGTATACAAGTTATTATGTCTAACGTTTGAATGCCCAGAACATGATTGTGTAATAAAGATAATTATGCAGTTTGCAAATTGTGTCTTATATTTTATATGCACATCATGCATACACTAAGATAAATAAACATTTGTACAATAGACACAAGTATAAGTGACATATTCTTCAGTAACATGTATTTGGTCACAAAAAATAGAAACACCATTTTCAGTTTACATTATTAATAAATGAAAATATAAAATAAAGACCATGTGTTTGGCCTATAACAAGTTTAATTCATATACATGTACAAATGTACCTATTTAAATATTTATAAAGTTCAGGTTTTTGACACAGATTATACTTGTATATACATGTACACTTAAGGAGCATTTGAACCATGCATAGATAAATTTATACCATGTATTTGGTAAAAAGTATTTACAGTTAAAAGATAGCATGTATAAGGGCAACAATAAGCTACAAATTAACCATGTACATGTGCAATGTATTTATGCAATATATTTTGAAGTTAAGAAACATGAAGACATTGTATACAAGTTATGTATATTAGTATATGATCAATACATGTTACATATAGACCATGTATATATGCCACAAGTTCATTTCATAGGCATTTTTAAGCTATAATCAGGCATATAAGTGTAGAGTCAAACCATGTATTTGGCAAAGATCATACATACACATAAAGAATATTTGAAATATCCAAAGATCATGTTGAAAAGTTGTATTTTGTAAAATGGAATTTACAATTAAAAAGTAAATCAATTTGGGTCAAGAATAGATAACAAATTGACCATGTAATTGGTTAATAACATTTGATGTTTACCTTAATACACATTGTACATGTTGTATTAAGACAATGAATATGTGTTTGGTCAATATATATGTTAATTTATACAATGTATTTGGTAAAGAGAATTGAAATTTAGTAATGCATTGTATATAGATCATTTTCTTGGTCAATATCTATGGGTAATAGACTATATATAATTGTGAATCTATTTATAGACCATGTATTTGGTCAATAGATATTACTTATAAGCTGAAATTTTAAACAGACCTCAACTGAAATGTTAAATAAAAAAGTCAAATCTCAGTAAACAATTAGACTAAATAGGGACTTTTTAACAACCTTTCCTTTGTCAAAATAAGTGATTATTTGTGATAAGTATTGATAATGACTAGCACATGTATCAAATGATAGTGATTCGTTAAAATTTCAGGAATCCATTAATTCTATGTAATCAATATTTGTAAATCCTAATAATTCATATATAAGTAATTACGAGTTATATTTTTAGTAATTCAAAGTAATCCAACTTGGTAATTTTTGGTAGATGTATATAATGTTTAAATAATAATTTTAAGTGATTACAAATATTTTTATAAGTAAATATATTCATCAATAATCACTAGTAACATGATAAGTGATTCAAAGTAATAACCAAAGCACATGTTAGTAATTTAGTAAAATTAACCAAGTAAATGTAATTCCAAATATTACTGCACAACCATAGCGATTTGATGAAAACGACAGATAATTGTATCGACTCGTTGAAATTAAATTGAGAATGGAAATGGGGAATATGTCAAAGAGACAACAACCCGACCAAAGAGCAGCCGAAATCCACCAATGGGTCTTCAACGCAGCGAGAAAAGTATATTGAGTGAGGATACAGTTAGAAGTCTATATTTGTTTATAGGTAGACAACACATGTATTGACTGGTATTACAAGGCTTCGATTGTGTTATTTACATAATGATATCCAATATATTCTTTGTTTAAAATCTATGATAAACGGGACGATTTCAATTTCCCAATTATCATTTTCCCATTTCTCAGCAGTAACATACCCTCTGCCCCTTCGTATGGTGTTTACATATCTCAATTGATACATTATTCTCGTGCTTGTTCACACTATAGGACTTCATATACAGGAGTGTGCTCCTTACGCAGAAACTGCTCCAACAAATTTATGAGGAGGACAGATTAAAAATGACACTCCGTAAATTTTACGGACACCATCACCAATTGGTTGATCCATACGATGTGTCTTTGTGAAAACTAACTAAGGACATTTTTTTCAACGTGTTAGATTGTGGTTTGTCATTACGTCGTCTGATCTTTTAATTACCGAACGTGACTTATTCCCGATTGTGACTGTTTTGCTGAGTGTGAAACCGCATTGCTATAAGACGTGTCACGGTACCTTTCTATCCCAAAGTCATGTATTTAATTTTGATGTTATATTTGTTGTTCTCGTCGGATTTTGTCAAATGTCTTAACGTATTTTCTGTTATATTCGTGTGTTATGGTATAGATAATTAATCACCCCCTTCATTTATTAGATTTTAGTTTGGTTCAACGAAATTTATACGATATATTTGGTTTACGGTTTGATTCGGAGGAAACACCGACATAGCTGGATGATACAATTAGTTATCTAATTACTACCACAATTTGATATTAATAAGTTTTGTAATTTTCATTGTTATTAATAAATGTAATGGCAGTATTTCAGATCTGGTCTTGGGTCAATCCTGGTCCTATCTTATTTTTGGGAAATATTTTTACAAATTCATATGTGACGTCACTTTGTGTGTTTTTTTAGAATTTCAAGTGTGACGTCACTTTGTGCGTTGAGGCTTTAGCTAACTCGGCTGTGTATTTTTATATGTTGGATTAAGTTGTTTTATGTAATGTATCCGTTTTTATTCTGTAGTTAGTCCCCACTTTGGTTTTATCATGTATATCTATTATATAGTCATTTTATAAAACATACTGTTTGCAAAATTATAAATTATTCTAAATAATAAGGATGTTCTTGTCCCAGGCAGAAAATCCTGTCCGTGTTAGGCGCAACTTTTTGGAAGTTTTGGTCCTCGGTGCTCTTCAGCTTTGTACTTGTTTTGGCTTTCAACCTTTTTTTATCTGAGCGTCACTGGTTGGTCTTGTGTGGACGAGACGCACGTCTGGCGTATTGAATTTTAAGCCTAGTACCTTCTGCTAGCTATTATTCGTGTGTTTCTTTGTCATATATGTTCTCCCATTTATTTGTATTGTGGTCCTGTCATGTGATGTTGTCGTTTTGGTGTTGTGTTTGACGTTGCCATAAAAGCGGGAGGTTTGGCATGCCACAAAACCAGGTTCAACCCACCATTTTTTTCTTAAAATGTCCTGTACCAAGTCAGGAAAATGGCCATTGTTATATTATAGTTCGTTTCTGTGTGTGTTACATTTTAATGTTGTGTTTTTGTTGTGTCGTTGTTCTCCTCTTATATTTGATGCGTTTCCCTCAGTTTTAGTTTGTAACCCGGATTTGTTTTTATCTCTATCGATTTATTAGTTTCGAACAGCGGTATACTACCGTTGCCTTTATTTAAATCATGTTTACTATCTTTTTCTGTTATGTTCAATATTGATTTTATAGAAATTAGCACTTTTTGGTGCTACGTTTTTATATTAATTAATTAGTACAAAAAAAAAAGCATGGCCTCTATGTACATATCATTGTATATTTCTTATTCCCTTAAGTGAGTTCTATTTTCATGCATCTTAGTGATAAATAGTGAAAAAATAATTGCAGTTGTAAATTTGTTTTACCTTTTAAAATCTCATTATTAATGCAGTTTTACATTGTATCTTGACATTTCACAAACCATTAATTTATTACTAAAATCAAATTGTGTAAACTAACCAGGATATACAGAAGAAAACGTGGAGGTTATAATAAGTGAAATTGATGAATAGTGTATTAGGACATTAACCATGAAAGGAAATATAGCCGTAAAGCATGATACTTGAGTAAACTTTTTTTGGGCGCTATATAATTCTGTTGCGTCATAGTCGTGTATAAAAGGTGGAAATCAGCAGATTATTTCAAAGACTTTCATATACTGACGGTATTTTGTCATATAAGTACATTTGCAGTCATATTAAATGTAGAATTAAATGCATTTTGCACATTTTGAGAGATTAGAAAGGAAGTGACCTTTATATATTGCATATTTTTAAGCAAGACGGTATTCCGCGCGTCATGTAAAATGTGGAATGTCACTAACATTCATTCTTATATTAACTATAACCATTAATTTACATACTATGTGTAAAAAATAAAGAAAAATGTCATTCGTTTTTATAAATTTTAACTTACTTACATGAACCTTCAGTTACTATGCATCACTGACGGCACATGTGTCAAAATGATAACAAATTCCTAACGATAAAATTAGAGCTTCTATATATTTTTACCAATGAAATCAATTGATTAAACAGAAACATTTGAATCCTAAAAACATGAACAATCTGAAAAGAACACTTCAAATTAAATCAAGATAAATTTGCTTAACAGAATTTCGAGTGTTGCTCTAGAAACTACAATAGATTTGGAGATGAGGTACTCACGACTTTTACTTGTTGGATAACAGCGTAGGACCCCTTCACAGCAATCTAAATTTGACAAAATGAGATTTAGTGTGATTTTATCAGGGATCTGCGTACCCTTCAGGAGCACCGGAGATCACTTCCAGTTTTGAATGGGGTTCGTGTTGCTTAGCCTTTAGTTTTCAATGTTGCGTTTGTATACTGGAGTTTGTATTTTCGTCGTTGTCCGTTTGTTTGCATTGGCATTGTCAGTTTCTTTTTAACTGATGAGTTTAACCTCCATTTGGTATTTTTCGCCTCACTTTGAAATTTACCAGAAATCTTAAAACAAAAAAATATGGACACGATTAGAAGAATTCAAAATAAACTTCTAACGAAAATGGAAAAAGTTTAATTAAGACGTTAGGTAATTAGGCACGAAACACCGCGATTCCGTTTCAGAAACCACACGAAAGACAAAGAAAGATAAATTATATGTATATGAATAAGTTGCTGTATTCTTTACAGTTGTTTGCAATTGTTATCTTGATAAAACAAAATGTGCCTTTGGATCCTAATGGCGAACTATCAAGAAAAATATACAAAAAATGTGTGTATTTATTGTAGAAACCAAAAAGAAGAATGCAGGTTTATGTTTGTTTAGTCGTCTGTCTGTTGTTAGTGTCAGATGGAGGTAAGAAAACGTAAGATCCTCTTTTAAATTGAACGGTTGATTGTTATTTGTAAATAAACTTTTTTTTCTTCCGAAGGAAGATCCTTCTATACACATTGATACAGTAACAAAGCAAATGGTTGCATATGAATAGCTAGTGAACGTCTTTTACAATTTTTGTTTTGACACTTTAATATTTGTTTTTTGTTGTCCCTGTTGAACGCTCAAAAGGTAAATATCAACTGTTTCTCTGACATTTAAGCCAACATGTTAAATTTGTAGTTGTTGTTAGCTTTGTCGAATTCAAATCAAATTAATTTTCCATATGGCGATAATGGGTGATACGTGAGACAGCAAACAAAACTAAACCATAGAACCATTTATACATGCTGTGATCAGTATGTTAATGTTTTGTCTGTTAAATATAATATAAATGTCATTAAGAAACAGCCCAATTTAAAGCAAAACAGTTTTTGTAGAACTTTTTCTTGTATCTTATTCTATGTACCCTTTGCAAGTCCACTAATAACGATTACAATGGGGAGTGATAGATATAAAAAATGACAAGTTTAACAGTACCAAATTTCCATGTGTCAGTCCCTTGTCAGGAGCTTTGCAGTATTTTCCTATTTAGATTTGATTTTGTTATACGAAATATACAGTGATGCAGGTAGTTTCCGTTGAATTTATCACAACTTTTAAAAATAGTTAGAGGTTCACATATAATCAAAGCATATATCTACTGTTGATGACTCTAGAGGTCATTTACCCTCTTATGTCATTGGGAAGATGTACTATTGATGTATAGTCAACATCTCCTTCTACATTCATATTACTCTCGTTGTAATTTGTTTTTCTTTTAAGGAAAGGATGGGTTAAATGTGAGGGGAATGTGAATGAGTGGATGAATGGAATGGGGGATCGTCCTCCCTAACTTTCCCACCAAAATTATAATAAGAGTAGTACATTACACAACATAATACTTTCTTTAGAATAGATCACGGTAGTGAATTAGCTTTTATAATTTATCATTAGTTGGTTTCTGAATTATCAGAAATTTCCTTTGGCCTTTTAACAAACCTTTGACCTTAATTGGTACGATAGCAAACACCAATTCTGAGATATAGTGAAAAGTAATTCTTTTTATAAAAGAACAAACATAAATATGAGACAACCTAGATGAGGAATCTTCGTAAATTAGATAAACAACTACATATAACAAACGTTTTCTCTTTAAATTAATTTTACATATAAATTCTACCACTGTATCGAGTGTGATACGATATTTATTCACTCGAGACAGTTACATTTTCAAATTAAAACGCGAAGCTCGCCGAGCGTTTTAAATGTTTAAAATTTAACTGTCGAGATTGGATAAATATCGTATTGCACAAGATTTGGTGGTGGAATCTGTTTCTCTAATAATTTTTAACCTATATGCAGACAAACTCAATCCTTCTTTTTGAATGATCTGTAAAAAGATGTGTTCTATCTATGTGACGTCGCCAGGAATGGGCGCCTTTTTTCATGACGTCACAATAGAAAATTCAGAGGAAAGCAAGAAATTTGACGTCATAATCGAATTTTGACTAATGAAGAACTAAGATCAAACGAATCACACGTTAATTAAAAAAAAAATAATCAACAGGTCAGGAAAAGGATAAATCGTGTAAGAATTAGAGAAAACTGTATAGATGTGTTAGTGTGTGTGTGTGAATGAATGAGAGGGGACTACATATATGATTTTGGTTTCGGAACCACCTGATGTATATAGTGTCTTTTTAATTTTAAATCAATGTGTCGTTAATGGAACGATTTATAACATACTTTTTTGCTATAATGCATCATTGATAAATTTAGAAAATTGAAGAAACTAAGGTTCGAACTTACGTAGGAAAAGTTGAACTTCGATGGATTTGGTCATTTGTTTCAGATCCCGTTCCTTTTTATAACTCTTTAAAGGAATTTCAGTAATTGTTTTTTACATAATTAGCTTGTATCAACTAGAATAGCAAAAATACCGAACTCCAAAAAAAATTCAAAGCGGAAAGTCCCTTATCAAATAGCAAATAAAACGATCAAACACATCAAACGAATGGAAAACAACTGTCATATTCCTGACTTGGTACGGGCATTTCCTTATGTAGGAAATTGTGGAGTAAACCTGGATTTATAGCTAACTAAACCTGTATCAAACCTAGTATGTTTTTCGGTTTGATCGTTCCTGAGAGATTTATTTCAAAAACACTTTGACCGGACCAAATTTATAAATTGTAATTTTTAATTTACAAAATGAAATATCCTCTCAATGACAGTTTTTTTTCTTAACAATATCACAACGGAGGAATATCTATTCAGCAACGACATTTTCTTGATGTATGACAAACACTTATAACTTTGTTACGTCATTAAATACAACATTACTATATTTCTAGTCAACATGGCAGAAGAAGACATGCTGGAAGATAATTTTCTGAATCACGCGTAAGTTAAATCGTATGGTTTGATTATTCGAGATGATTGAGTCTGACAGAGTTAGAGTGTTTTATATTATCTATTATAAATCATTTAAGAGCAAAGGGCATGTCCCTTGAAAAAATCTGCATGATATTTTTCTTAACATCAGAAAGGGCGCGACCAATCAAACACCTTAGATGAAAATTAATTCAGACGGAAAGAACCGAAAATGCTACATCAGAATATTTTGTACCGTAACATGAATTCCACAACTGCAGATATAACAATAATTGACAATTTTGCATAGCACTGTTGACAAAAAAATGTAAAAAAGCGATGAGATGGTAAGAGACCATACAAACAAAATAATAAGAATACCGACATATACCAAAAATCTGCACAAGAGCAAAACGAGCCCTACTAAAACATGAGATAAACTCATGTGATTTGGATGGGTTGGGAGTTTATAGTTTGATAGGCACCCGTCGTGTGGCTATTTGCAATTAAAAGTCATTTGGTAAGAAAAATGTGGATTTATAAAAGTTTATTTTTTTAAATGAAGTGTATGTACATGTTAAAGGCAACCGAAAGGCCTCTATCAATAAGAAAAAACTCATACCGTATAGTCGGCTATAAAAGGCCCCGAAATGAAAAAATAAACAATTCAATTGGGAAAACTTACGGCCTAATTGATAACAAAACAAGTTACGAAAATCCAAAATGACAGACATGCACCAACGACAACCACTGAACTACAGGCTCCTGACTTGGGACAGACACATAACGAATGTAAACGTTTATATTTATTTGATTTAAAAAGTAGACATTGTTATGAGTAATTGTATATTACGCGTTACTGTAACAAAACATGCAATATATATTCATACCTCAATATATATATATATGCACGAATATACACTGATTTCACTAATACATGATTGATCAAATGTATTCATTCTAGCTAATGTTTCGTTTTAGTCTAAGACTTGTAAAAAGACATACGCCTATAGATCTACCACTTCGTCGTTGCTGTGGGTGTGGTATGCATGTGGAATGCAATAACTATTGAATTCAGCTATTCATTATTTACCGGTCCTAGCAATCCTAACAGAAACAGGGAAACATTGTCAATTTAAACATGTTAAATATAGGACTATCATAATATGAATATCAGTTAAAATGTGATATCTGAAGCTTTTTTTTATTTTATTTGAATGCGATACACTGATATTCAGTTTTCGAAATGGGTCAAGGTATTTTCAAGTTGAAGGTAGTTAACAAATAACCTAGACACACAGTAGATACATGTAGTAGACCGATAAGTATCTTATGTTTATGCTTTTTGGTTTCAAGTCCAAAAAAGTCGTAAATCCGGTTCAAGACACTGAAACAAGGAATTCAACAGATGGATATATAAATTGTCATACACTGCTCTTTTAATATCCAAAAACTGATCGAAAGTTATCAAAGTATTCATAGTGAACTGTCGTAGTAGGTAAAGTAACTCTAGAAAATGTTACTTGGATATCGACAGGTAGATTGCATGATAATACTGCTACAGTACTAGCAACCTTAGGTGTTACTATTTTAGAGTTCATTCAGCAGTCATCGATCATTTACCGATCGGTCAAGTTCGTGTCAAACTCACATAAATAATCTCATATATTCATCCTATTTTATGAACAACCACATCCTGATGTAGAAAAAGTACTAAAAACAAATGACGGTGTATTCTATTGATTTAAATAAAAAAATATTGATTTCTTATTCAACACAAACAAAAATATAAGCATGTTAATCATAACATTGTTCACAATATAACTTAAGAGGCATTTAATATAACTGATTGAAAACAAAAGAGCATATTTGATTTTATAAAACGAAGAAATATTGGCTTTTTTAAACAATGCAAACAAAATATTTGTAACTTATTTCATACATTTATTCATTTATATGTTTCGGAATTTAATGTGACGTCCATTTTCGCTGAACTAGTACATATTTTTGTTCAGGGGTCAGCTGAAGCCCGCCTCCGGGCGCTGGATTTGCTTGCTGTGTTAAAGACTCTTTGGTGGCTTTGGGCTGTTTTTTGCTCTTCGTTCGGGTTGTTGTCTCTTTGACACATTCCCCGTTTCAATTCTCTATTTTATTTATTATATTTTTTTAGCAAATAAATCTATCCTGATGTACAAAAGTACTAAAAACTAATGACGGTGTATTATTTTGATTTTTATTAGATAAAGAAATATTGCATTTGTATTCAACACAAACAAAAGTTTAAGCATGTTTATCCACATAAGAAATAACTTATCCAGAGGCATTTAAAATGACTGAGTGCAAATAACAGTGCATTATTTTTATAAAAAGAAGAAATATTGGAATGTTCAAACTATGCAAACAAAATTCTAGTACCTTTTCACTGATATTCATGATATGTTATGAAAAACAACTCATCCAGATGTACAAAAAAGTACCATATGACTGTAGATGATTTCTGTTAAAACGAAGAAATAAAAACACATTTCGTAAGCACAAACAAAAGTTTACGTTTCTTTATTCAAACTATTCTTATATTATTAACATTCAATACAAAATTACCAATACTAATTAAAATTTAGAAAAATCAATAACGAAACATTCACATAATGCGTTACCATTTATATACATATATATATTCATAAACATTCAACATTTTATCGACTGAAGAAAATGAAGCTGTGCGGTTGCTTAAAAGCAGAGACGACATCATAATAAAACCAGCAGATAAAGACAGCGCTGATTACATTCAAGAGGCAGAACGTCAACTCTCTGATGAGATATTTTATAAGAAACTATACTCTGACCAAACTCCTCAATTCAACAAAAAGGTTACCACAAACTTGAAAATCATGTGTGAACAGGATCATATTAATGAAGACACATTTGAATATCTAAAGCCTGAAAATTCAAAGCATGGACGTTTCTATATTCCGCCCAAAATACACAAAGTCAATAATCCAGGTAGACCAATTGTTTTTGACAATGACCACCCTACAGAGAAAATATCACAAAATATTGACTTCCATTTAAGACCACATGTAAAAAATATACCATCATACATACAAGATAAAACACACTATCTTAAGAAAATGGAATCCTTGAACCCTCTCCCACCTAACACGATCTTTGTCTCGCTTGATGTTACCTCTCTCTATACTAACATCCCCCATGACGATGGTATTGAAGCCTGTAGGAAAGTCTGGAACTCTCGCAACACCTTCCATCCACCAACTAAATGTCTAGTCCATCTAACTTTGGTATTGAAATGCAATAATTTCACATTAAATGGTGAACACTTTCTACAAGTTAATAGAACAGCAATGGGAACAAAGATGGCCCCGTCTTATGGCAATATTTTTATGGGGAAATTAGAACATCAAATTCTCAATTCTTCTCTTTATCAATCTCTCTCTTGGTTCCAATTCATCGACGATATTGACATGAAGCGGGATAATACTGAACAAGAACTCAATGTGTTCATTCAACATCCAAACGATGTTCATCCCTCAATAAAATTCACTAATGAAATCTCTGACTCTAAGATCACATTTCTTGACACTACTACTTAAATGAAGGATGGAATCATATTTACAGATCTGTATTGCAAGCTGACAGACACACATCAATAATTTTCTCCTTTAAGTTGTCATCCTACACATTGCACCAAGAGCATTTCCTACAGCCAGGCCATACGAATAAAACGGATTTGCTCCACCAATGATACTGCAAAAAGGCGACTACAAGAACTTCGCGGTCACCTAAAAATATCTGGGCTACAAAAGAAAATACATTGATAAAAGTTTTTCTCGTGCTAACAACATCAGCCGAGATGAACTTTTACAATATTAAGACATAAAGGTTAACAAAAGAGTGCCGTTTGTGCTGACTTACCGTCCCAAATTTGACAAGTTATCACACCTAATCCGCGAAAATTGGAAAGAAATCGAAAAACATCCTAAACTATCTAAGATCTTTTCCGAGCCACCTGTACTGGCTTTCTGTAGGCCCAAAAGCCTTAAAGACTTGCTGGTGAGAGCCGATTTATCCTCTAAAGCAGGCTCTTCGTCTGTGGGTTCTTGCAATGGATGCGGAAACAAACAATGTCTGACTTGCAAACAAATACTGAATACCCAGACTTTTAACAGTCACTCCACTGGTACGGAATTTACCATATTTTGCAATTTTAATTGCAAGACTACAAATGCTGTGTATCTTCTACAGTGTAAATGTGGTAAACAGTATGTTGTCGAGTCAGAACTGCCATTTCACAAACGAATGAACGGCCATCGTAGCAACTATGAATGCAAGCCAGACATTCCTCTCAGTCGACATTTGAGATCCCCTGGCCACACTAAGGCAGATCTCAATCGGCTGACCATTACAATCATAGACCACAACATTGTTTGGTCAAGGGAGGATAGACTCACTCGGGAAAGATTTTGGATAAGAAAATTAAAAACTTTGGCACCAAATGGGATCAATGAAAAGGTGTAGTTTTAATTTGCGCAGTGCTTTTCATGTCGGTTATAAAATATATTACTACGTAGGCTCTGTTGCTATTCCTTTACCTTTTCAACTCTAAAATTCATTGAATTATACCAGTTTAAATCGCAGGTTACTATTCATTTGGGATGTACAAGTACGCAGCCACGGTCAATTACTTAACCTTTGTCAAAATTATTATTATTATTATTTTTTTTTAATCATCAAACTGCTATTTATTTGGGATGTTTAAATACGCAGCCTCTGTTGTAATAACTTTACCGTCGTCAAATTTGAAATATTATACCAGCTCAAATCGGTCAGTGCTGTTCATTGGGAATATATTTGTACGCAGTCTTTGTTGTTATATCTTAACTGTCATCACATTTGAAATTTAAGAAATGTACCAGTTCATATCGCGCATTACTATTTTTATTAGAAACATATATATGCAGCATCTGTTGTAAATACCTATATAATCTACGTCATTTTCTAATTTTAGAATTGTTCAAGCGTTGTTGTGTTCGGTTTTAATTGTATAAATTTCAAGATTGTTATAGTTAAATCAGAATAGATTGACATTATTCATTTTACATGATAATCATACTGATGAAGGATATCTGTTATCCGAAATATGTATAGATACTTACATTTATTGTTTCCTTTTTTAAAAATTGGTTTTGTTTTGTACACTTTTTAGGCGGTTATATATTTATATATATATTCTTTCCATGTCATTGTGACCCAGTTGAATACAAAGTATCGAGTTAAGGTGTCTTCGTCAAAGTCCACATTTATCGCATGTTCATACTACGGAGTTCGTTTCACATAGACATTGTAATTATATATGTATCCGTCAGATCCGTGCATATAATTAATTGACTGATAGATGGCTGACAAATAGAATCCGTCAGATAAGTTAAACAAGCTTCATTGTACATGTTGTATCGATCACCGATCATGTACAGATTAATCAAGTTTGTGTCACCAATCATTCACCAAGCAGTCAAGTTCATATTAAACAATAACGCCTAAAGTGGCAAGTACTGTATAAACCCTAGTTAAAAGGTATACGACAGTCAGACAGCAACAAAGACAACAACAAAAAATATCGTTTATCACTATACGGCTTTAAACAGTGCCAACCATCATATGATGGCCTTGTGATTTAACAAATACGGCAATAACCCTCTGACTTGCATCATCATTGTATAGTCACATGTGTACACCACTAATGCAGTTCCAAGTAGCACTATTAGAGTACTCTTATCCAGTCTCTTTTTAATTTCTTGTATATATTTACATTATATTCTGATGTCTAATCTTAAGGTTTCACAAATTACAAGGTTTTTTTTAGAACATAATACGTTTAAATTTTATGATGAACAAGTGTTTTTTGTTTATACTAGTGAATAATATCAATGCGGATTTCATCATGCTTGATTCCAATCAGCACAGAAGCCAAATAAAATATCGAAGGTGAAGAGCATCGAAAACCACAGAACTGCAAAAACTATTCAAACACTGGCTATGGCTAAACATGCCTTTGGTAAAAAAGATTGGTAAACGATTGATATCATTATTTCGAAGTTAAAATATTGTGATGATGTATATTTAACCGGCGTTGCCAATCATATTCGTTTTTCCCAAAAAAAATATACTCCATAAAATT